TCCTCCCAACACTTCTCCCATCCCCAAAATCCCAAATCCCCAAAATCCCAAATCCCCCTCCCCAGATCCCAAATCCCCAAACCCCAAATCCCCTGACCCCATTTTTGGGGACCCAGCCCTGATCCTGATGGATTTTGTCCAGAATTCCTGGGGGAATTCTCCCCCCATTTTTTCCCAATTTTTTCCCATTTTTTCCTCTTTTCCAGGGGTTTGGGGCGGCGCTGCCTCCTGGCCCGGCTGGGGACCAGCCCCACCCTGCACCAGTGAGTGACTGGGAGGGACTGGGATGGACTGGGATGGATTGGGAGGGACTGGGATGGACTGGGAGGGAACTGGGAGCGGACTGGGATGGAATTGGAATGGACTGGGAGGGACTGGGATGGATTGGGGGGGACTGGGATGGACTGGGAGTTACTGGGAGGGACTGGGATGGACTGGAATGGAACTGGGAGGGACTGGGAGTTACTGGGAGGGACTGAGATGGAATTAAGATGGACTGGGAAGGACTGGGAGTTACTGGGAGGGACTGGGAGGTCAGAGAAGGGATTTGGGGATTTCGGGAGTTTCCAATGAGGATTTTTGGGTTTTTTGGGGGGGTTTTTTTGGGTTTTTTTGGGGTGGATTCTGGGAGTTTCCAATGAGGATTTTTTGGGTTTTTTGGGGTGGATTTTGGGGTGGATTTTGGGGTTTTTTGGGGCTCATTTTTGCCCCGGTCCCAGGGCGATCCCGATGGCGACGACGGCGCGGGAGGAGATGCAGAGATTTTGGGAGAGGAACGAACGCTCCAACAGACCCCTGTCCCCCCATGTCAGCATCTACAAGTGAGGGACACCCCAAAAAACAACCTGGGACCCCAAAACACCCCGAAATAACCCCCCAAACCACCCCAAAAACGGCCCAAAAAACCCCCAAAATCATCCCAAAATAACGAACGCTCCAACAGACCCCTGTCCCCCCATGGCAGCATCTACAAGTGAGGGACACCCCAAAAAACAACCTGGGACCCCAAAAAACAACCTGGGACCCCAAAAATATCCCAAAATAACCCCAAAAGGAGCCTGGGATCCCCAAAACCAGCCCAAAACCAGCCTGAGAACCCCAAAATCACCATAAAATAACCCCAAAATCATCCTGGGAACAGAGTTCATGCTCCAACCTCCCCATGGCAGCATCTACAAGTGAGGGACACCCCAAAAAACAACCTGGGACCCCAAAATCATCCCCAAAAACACCCCAAAAGGAGCCTGGGACCCCAAAAACACCCCAAAA